GCTCTATATTAAAACACACATATGAAACACAAGCTCTTCCCTCAAATACACACACGAAACAAGCTCTTCCATCAAACACACACACGAAACACAAGCTCTTCCCTCAAACACACACATGAAACACAAGCTCTTCCCTCAAACACACACATGAAACACAAGCTCTTCCCTCAAACACACACATGAAACACAAGCTCTTTATTAAAACACACACATGAAACACAAGCTCTTCCCTCAAACACACACATGAAACACAAGCTCTTCCCTCAAATACACACACATGAAACACAAGCTCTTCCCTCAAACACACACACACACACACACGAAACACAAGCTCTTCCCTCAAACACACACATGAAACACAAGCTCTTCCCTCAAACACACACATGAAACACAAGCTCTATACTCAAACACACATATGAAACACAAGCTCTTCCCTCTAACACACACATGAAACACAAGCTCTTCCCTCAAACACACACATGTAACACAAGCTCTATACTCAAACACACATATGAAACACAAGCTCTTCCCTCAAACACACACACATGAAACACAAGCTCTTCCCTCAAACACACACATGAAACACAAGCTCTTCCCTCAAACACACACATGAAACACAAGCTCTTCCCTCAAACACACACATGAAACACAAGCTCTTCCCTCAAACACACACATGAAACACAAGCTCTTCCCTCAAAAACACACATGAAACACAAGCTCTTCCCTCAAACACACACACACATGAAACACAAGCTCTATATTAAAACACACACATGAAACACAAGCTCTTCCCTCAAACACACACATGAAACACAAGCTCTTCCCTCAAAAACACACATGAAACACAAGCTCTTCCCTCAAACACACACACACATGAAACACAAGCTCTTCCCTCAAACACACACATGAAACACAAGCTCTATATTAAAACACACACATGAAACACAAGCTCTTCCCTCAAACACACACATGAAACACAAGCTCTATATTAAAACACACTCATGAAACACAAGCTCTTCCCTCAAACACACTCATGAAACAAGCTCTATACTCAAACACACTCATGAAACACAAGCTCTTCCCTCAAACACACACATATGAAACACAAGCTCTTCCCTCAAACACACACATGAAACACAAGCTCTTCCCTCAAACACACACATGAAACACAAGCTCTTCCCTCAAATACACACACGAAACACAAGCTCTTCCCTCAAACACACACATGAAACACAAGCTCTTCCCTCAAACACACACATATGAAACACAAGCTCTTCCCTCAAACACACACATGAAACACAAGTTCTTCCCTCAAACACACACATATGAAACACAAGCTCTTCCCTCAAACACACACAAGAAACACAAGCTCTTCCCTCAAACACACACATGAAACACAAGCTCTATATTAAAACACACACATGAAACACAAGCTCTATATTAAAACACACACATGAAACACAAGCTCTTCCCTCAAACACACTCATGAAACACAAGCTCTTCCCTCAAACACACACATGAAACAAGCTCTATACTCAAACACACACATGAAACACAAGCTCTATATTAAAACACACATGAAACACAAGCTCTTCCCTCAAACACACACATGAAACACAAGCTCTATACTCAAACACACATGAAACACAAGCTCTATACTCAAACACACACATGAAACACAAGCTCTTCCCTCAAATACACACACGAAACAAGCTCTTCCCTCAAACACACACATGAAACACAAGCTCTATACTCAAACACACGAAACACAAGCTCTATACTCAAACACACATGAAACACAAGCTCTATACTCAAACACACACATGAAACACAAGCTCTTCCCTCAAATACACACACGAAACAAGCTCTTCCCTCAAACACACACATGAAACACAAGCTCTATACTCAAACACACGAAACACAAGCTCTATACTCAAACACACATGAAACACAAGCTCTATACTCAAACACACATGAAACACAAGCTCTATACTCAAATACACACACGAAACAAGCTCTTCCCTCAAACACACACACATGAAACACAAGCTCTTCACTCAAACACACACATGAAACACAAGCTCTATACTCAAACACACACATGAAACACAAGCTCTTCCCTCAAACACACACACGAAACAAGCTCTTCCCTCAAACACACACATGAAACACAAGCTCTATTTTAAAACACACACATGAAACACAAGCTCTATTTTAAAACACACACATGAAACACAAGCTCTATACTCAAACACATGAAACACAAGCTCTATACTCAAACACACACATGAAACACAAGCTCTTCCCTCAAATACACACACGAAACAAGCTCTTCCCTCAAACACACACATGAAACACAAGCTCTTCCCTCAAACACACACACATGAAACACAAGCTCTATACTCAAACACACACATGAAACACAAGCTCTTCCCTCAAATACACACACGAAACAAGCTCTTCCCTCAAACACACACATGAAACACAAGCTCTTCCCTCAAACACACACACATGAAACACAAGCTCTATACTCAAACACACACATGAAACACAAGCTCTTCCCTCAAATACACACACGAAACAAGCTCTTCCCTCAAACACACACATGAAACACAAGCTCTATACTCAAACACATGAAACACAAGCTCTATACTCAAACACACACATGAAACACAAGCTCTTCCCTCAAATACACACACGAAACAAGCTCTTCCCTCAAACACACACATGAAACACAAGCTCTTCCCTCAAACACACACACATGAAACACAAGCTCTATACTCAAACACACTCATGAAACACAAGCTCTATACTCAAACACACACATGAAACAAGCTCTATACTCAAACACACACATGAAACACAAGCTCTATATTAAAACACACATGAAACACAAGCTCTTCCCTCAAACACACACATGAAACACAAGCTCTATACTCAAACACACATGAAACACAAGCTCTATACTCAAACACACACATGAAACACAAGCTCTTCCCTCAAATACACACACGAAACAAGCTCTTCCCTCAAACACACACATGAAACACAAGCTCTATACTTAAACACACGAAACACAAGCTCTATACTCAAACACACATGAAACACAAGCTCTATACTCAAACACACATGAAACAAGCTCTTCCCTCAAACACACACACATGAAACACAAGCTCTTCACTCAAACACACACATGAAACACAAGCTCTATACTCAAACACACACGAAACAAGCTCTTCCCTCAAACACACACACATGAAACACAAGCTCTTCACTCAAACACACACATGAAACACAAGCTCTATACTCAAACACACACATGAAACACAAGCTCTATACTCAAACACACACATGAAACACAAGCTCTTCCCTCAAACACACACACGAAACAAGCTCTTCCCTCAAACACACACATGAAACACAAGCTCTATTTTAAAACACACACATGAAACACAAGCTCTATTTTAAAACACACACATGAAACACAAGCTCTATACTCAAACACACATGAAACACAAGCTCTATACTCAAACACACACATGAAACACAAGCTCTTCCCTCAAATACACACACGAAACAAGCTCTTCCCTCAAACACACACATGAAACACAAGCTCTATTTTAAAACACACACATGAAACACAAGCTCTATTTTAAAACACACACATGAAACACAAGCTCTATACTCAAACACATGAAACACAAGCTCTATACTCAAACACACACATGAAACACAAGCTCTTCCCTCAAATACACACACGAAACAAGCTCTTCCCTCAAACACACACATGAAACACAAGCTCTATTTTAAAACACACACATGAAACACAAGCTCTATTTTAAAACACACACATGAAACACAAGCTCTATTTTAAAACACACACACATGAAACACAAGCTCTTCCCTCAAACACACACATGAAACACAAGCTCTTCCCTCAAACACACACATATGAAACACAAGCTCTTCCCTCAAACACACACATGAAACACAAGCTCTTCCCTCAAATACACACACGAAACACAAGCTCTTCCCTCAAACACACACATGAAACACAAGCTCTTCCCTCAAACACACACATATGAAACACAAGCTCTTCCCTCAAACACACACATGAAACACAAGTTCTTCCCTCAAACACACACATATGAAAATCAAGCTCTTCCCTCAAACACACACAAGAAACACAAGCTCTTCCCTCAAACACACACATGAAACACAAGCTCTATATTAAAACACACACATGAAACACAAGCTCTATATTAAAACACACACATGAAACACAAGCTCTTCCCTCAAACACACACACATGAAACACAAGCTCTTCCCTCAAACACACACATGAAACACAAGCTCTATACTCAAACACACACATGAAACACAAGCTCTTCCCTCAAACACACACATGAAACACAAGCTCTATACTCAAACACACACATGAAACACAAGCTCTTCCCTCAAATACACACACGAAACAAGCTCTTCCCTCAAACACACACACATGAAACACAAGCTCTTCACTCAAACACACACATGAAACACAAGCTCTATACTCAAACACACACATGAAACACAAGCTCTTCCCTCAAATACACACACGAAACAAGCTCTTCCCTCAAACACACGAGCACAAACACAAGCTCTATTTTAAAACACACACATGAAACACAAGCTCTTCCCTCAAACACACACATGAAACACAAGCTCTTCCCTCAAACACACACATGAAACACAAGCTCTTCCCTCAAACACACACATGAAACACAAGCTCTTCCCTCAAACACACACATGATGCAGAACCAGAGTCATTCCGGAATAAACCGGGATCGAGACGCTCGTCAAACTCGTCATTTCAATCTTATATTGTTACTTACATTCATGCATTTAGTGACTTACAAAAGAGGAAGAAAAGGAGCCAAATATTCCTAATACACACAGCCAGGTTCATTAGACACCTATTAATCATTCTATGCATATATATTATGATTAAAAGCCTTTACCTTGTAGAATATGCATGCTGACGAGCTCGGATTTCTCTGGTCTGCTTCTGATTTTGTGTTTTAAGTAATCTCCAGTCTGCAACATCACATATTATGAAACATTAAATATGACGAGTAGGATTTTTACACACTTTCACAAAACGTCTGCTCATATCAGAATCAAATTTCATTCATAATTGATTAATTTAGCAGCAGTTACACAGTTATTGAACTGAATAATGACTGCTTTTTACAGTAGCGTTCAAAAGTTTAAGAGGATTTATTGTTTTTAATCATCATATTAGAGTGATTTCTGACGGATCATGTGACACTGAAGACTGGAGTAATGATGCTGGAAATTCAGCTTTGATCACAGGAATAAATTACACTTTACTGTATATTCACATAGAAAACAGATGATTTACATTAGAATAATATTTCACTGTTTTACTGTATTTTTGATAAAATAAACGCAGTTTTGATGAGCAGAAGAGACTTTCAGAAACCTTAAAAATCTTACAGACCCCAAACTTTTGAACGCTAGTGTGTGTGAAATGCTATTTGTTTCATAATTGATGAATGTTTCCAGATTTTCACTGTAAAGTCTGACTTGACCAAGAGAATAAATGAACTAGCTCTGATATCAGAAAATGCTGCAGTTTATAATCATTTCTGGAACTGAATGTTTGTAAAGGATTCTGGGAGATATCGAGATATTCCTGCTTCTAACTAACCTTGGATCGCTCCAGACTTTTCCTCTGTTCGTGGAACGAAGCCGGACTCTTCAGGGCTGGAAACGAAAGAGACAGAACTGAGTGAACAGATGAACACACTGTCAGTGAATCTCACAGAAATAACTCTGCTGTTTGAACTATAGCTAGTCTGAAGACGACAGGTACGCGTAAACCTCAGCGCGATACAGCTAACGTTCTGGAAAAGTTACGAACAAACGTTAATGAAAACGTCCGTTCAAAGTTATCTGGTCTTTAATAATGTTCTTAAAACGTAAGCACAAAAAATCATCATTCGTGGAACGTTTATGCCTGAAACATTTTAGTTGGACGTTTGTCTAACGTTTTTTAAATGTTTCAGAACGTTCAGAGAACATTCTAAAGTAACGTTCCCATAATGTTTGAAGAATGATACAATGTAACGTTCCCTAACGTTCACATAACCAAGAAAAAACTCTTTTTTTTTTTTTACTTTTTTTTCATAACTTAAAGGATTAGTTCACTTTAAAAAAAACTTTTGCTGATAATTTACTCACCCCCATGTCATCCAAGATGTCCATGTCTTTCTTTCTTCAGTGGAAAAGAAATTAAGGTTTTTGATGAAAACATTCCAGGATTTTTCTCCATACAATGTACTTTGCTGGGCACCAAACGGTCCAAGGTCCAAAAGACAGTTTCAGTGCAAACTGTTCAAAGGGCTTTAAACGACACCAGACGATGAATAAGGGTCTTATCAAGCGAAACGATCGCTCATTTAAAAAATAAATAAAAAAGTTTAAGTTTAATAAGCTCACATGCTCGCCTTGCTCTGTTCTGTGTGACTCTCCTGTTCGAACTCGTTCATCAAAATGAACAAATCTTTTTCCGAGTCAATTCGTTCATTTCGTTCGTTAAATGAATCAAATGACTCGAAAAAAGATTTGTTCATTTTGATGAACGAGTTCGAACAGGAGAGTCACGAACGTGCATCACAGAACAGAGCAAGGCCAGCATTTGACATTATTAAACTTAAACTTTGTTATTTCTTTTTTAAATGAGCGATCGTTTCGCTTGATAAGACCATTATTCATCGTCTGGTGTCGTTTAAAGCCCTTTGAACAGGTTGCACTGAAACTGTCTTTTGGACCTTGAACCGTTTGGTGCCCAGCAAAGTACATTATATGGAGAAAAATCCTGGAATGTTTTCATCAAAAACCTTAATTTCTTTTCGACTGAAGAAAGAAAGACATGGACATCTTGGATGACATGGGGGTGAGTAAATTATCAGCAAAAGTTTTTTTTAAAGTGAACTACTCCTTTAATGGGAACATTAGCAGAACATTCCTAGGAAAGATTCATTAAGTGTTTGGATCTCAGGAGGATTTAATTGCAGAAGATCATAGCATTACAGTCGTCAACTGACAGTTACAGAGGAATTGAACGACACAAGAACAGAGCAACCATTTCAAAATAAAAGCGACACAGGACACTTATTTCTTAAAAGAAAGAGAAAATTACAGAAAGCTTCGACATCCATCACACTCATGATATATAACTTAGAATTAGAGAATGTTTATTAAAGTAATATATTTTAATTCTGTATAATTTAATAAATAATTAAAATAAAATCAGAATTTAGCAGGTGTAAAACAAGCCAATGGGAAAGTTAATAAAATAATAACTTAGTAAATGTTCTCTGAAAACAAGCCTTAATATCTAAGTGTTTTTTGTGCATTTATATGTGAAAGCAGAAATGAAATGTGTTTTAATCCACTTCTTTCTCTAGAGCAGAGAGGAGTTCAAGAGCAGAAGCACAGATAGAGAGATAACAGGCCGTAACTGGACACCCGAGAAGAGGAAACATGACAAACATGCACTGAGTCTGTGTGTTAGAGCATCAGTTCAACTGCAGACAAGTGTGTGTGTGTGTGTGTGTGTGTGTGTGTGTGTGTGTGTGTGTGTGTGTGTGTGTGTGTGTGTGTGTGTTAGAGCATCAGTTCAACTGCAGACAAGTGTGTGTGTGTGTGTGTGTGTGTGTGTGTGTGTGTGTGTGTGTGTGTGTGTGTGTTAGAGCATCAGTTCAACTGCAGACAAGTGTGTGTGTGTGTGTGTGTGTGTGTGTGTGTCTGTGTGTTAGAGCATCAGTTCAACTGCAGACAAGTGTGTGTGTGTGTGTGTGTGTGTGTGTGTGTGTTAGAGCATCAGTTCAACTGCAGACAAGTGTGTGTGTGTGTGTGTGTGTGTGTGTGTCTGTGTGTTAGAGCATCAGTTCAACTGCAGACAAGTGTGTGTGTGTGTGTGTGTGTGTGTTAGAGCATCAGTTCAACTGCAGACAAGTGTGTGTGTGTGTGTGTGTGTGTGTGTGTGTGTGTGTGTGTGTGTGTGTGTGTGTGTGTCTGTGTGTTAGAGCATCAGTTCAACTGCAGACAAGTGTGTGTGTGTGTGTGTGTGTGTGTGTGTGTGTGTCTGTGTGTTAGAGCATCAGTTCAACTGCAGACAACAGTGTGTGTGTGTGTGTGTGTGTGTGTGTGTGTGTGTCTGTGTGTTAGAGCATCAGTTCAACTGCAGACAAGTGTGTGTGTGTGTGTGTGTGTGTGTGTGTGTGTGTGTGTGTGTGTTAGAGCATCAGTTCAACTGCAGACAAGTGTGTGTGTGTGTGTGTGTGTGTGTGTGTGTGTTAGAGCATCAGTTCAACTGCAGACAACAGTGTGTGTGTGTGTGTGTGTGTGTGTCTGTGTGTTAGAGCATCAGTTCAACTGCAGACAACAGTGTGTGTGTGTGTGTGTGTGTGTGTGTGTGTTAGAGCATCAGTTCAACTGCAGACAAGTGTGTGTGTGTGTGTGTGTGTGTGTGTGTTAGAGCATCAGTTCAACTGCAGACAAGTGTGTGTGTGTGTGTGTGTGTGTGTGTGTGTTAGAGCATCAGTTCAACTGCAGACAACAGTGTGTGTGTGTGTGTGTGTGTGTGTGTGTGTGTTAGAGCATCAGTTCAACTGCAGACAAGTGTGTGTGTGTGTGTGTGTGTGTGTGTGTCTGTGTGTGTGTGTGTGTGTGTGTGTCTGTGTCTGTGTGTTAGAGCATCAGTTCAACTGCAGACAACAGTGTGTGTGTGTGTGTGTGTGTGTGTGTGTGTGTGTGTTAGAGCATCAGTTCAACTGCAGACAAGTGTGTGTGTGTGTGTGTGTGTGTGTGTCTGTGTGTTAGAGCATCAGTTCAACTGCAGACAACAGTGTGTGTGTGTGTGTGTGTGTGTGTGTTAGAGCATCAGTTCAACTGCAGACAACAGTGTGTGTGTGTGTGTGTGTGTGTGTGTGTGTGTGTGTGTGTGTTAGAGCATCAGTTCAACTGCAGACAAGTGTGTGTGTGTGTGTGTGTGTGTGTGTGTTAGAGCATCAGTTCAACTGCAGACAACAGAGTGTGTGTGTGTGTGTGTGTGTGTTAGAGCATCCGTTCAACTGCAGACAAGTGTGTGTGTGTGTGTGTGTGTGTTAGAGCATCAGTTCAACTGCAGACAACAGTGTGTGTGTGTGTGTGTGTGTGTGTTAGAGCATCAGTTCAACTGCAGACAAGTGTGTGTGTGTGTGTGTGTGTGTGTGTTAGAGCATCAGTTCAACTGCAGACAACAGTGTGTGTGTGTGTGTGTGTGTGTGTGTGTTAGAGCATCAGTTCAACTGCAGACAAGTGTGTGTGTGTGTGTGTGTGTGTGTGTGTGTGTGTCTGTGTTAGAGCATCAGTTCAACTGCAGACAACAGTGTGTGTGAGTGTGTGTGTGTGTGTGTGTGTGTGTGTGTGTGTGTGTGTGTGTGTGTGTGTGTGTGTGTGTGTGTGTGTGTGTGTGTTAGAGCATCAGTTCAACTGCAGACAACAGTGTGTGTGAGTGTGTGTGTGTGTGTGTGTGTGTGTGTCTGTGTTAGAGCATCAGTTCAACTGCAGACAACAGTGTGTGTGTGTGTGTGTGTGTGTGTGTGTGTGTGTGTTAGAGCATCAGTTCAACTGCAGACAACAGTGTGTGTGAGTGTGTGTGTGTGTGTGTGTGTGTGTGTTAGAGCATCAGTTCAACTGCAGACAAGTGTGTGTGTGTGTGTGTGTGTGTGTGTGTGTTAGAGCATCAGTTCAACTGCAGACAACAGTGTGTGTGTGTGTGTGTGTGTGTGTGTGTGTGTGTGTGTGTGTGTGTGTGTGTTAGAGCATCAGTTCAACTGCAGACAAGTGTGTGTGTGTGTGTGTGTGTGTCTGTGTGTTAGAGCATCAGTTCAACTGCAGACAAGTGTGTGTGTGTGTGTGTGTGTGTTAGAGCATCAGTTCAACTGCAGACAACAGTGTGTGTGTGTGTGTGTGTGTGTCTGTGTGTGTGTGTGTGTGTGTCTGTGTGTTGGAGCATCAGTTCAACTGCAGACAAGTGTGTGTGTGTGTGTGTGTGTGTGTGTGTCTGTGTTAGAGCATCAGTTCAACTGCAGACAACAGTGTGTGTGTGTGTGTGTGTGTGTGTGTGTGTCTGTGTGTTAGAGCATCAGTTCAACTGCAGACAAGTGTGTGTGTGTGTGTGTGTGTGTGTGTGTGTCTGTGTGTTAGAGCATCAGTTCAACTGCAGACAAGTGTGTGTGTGTGTGTGTGTGTGTCTGTGTGTAAAAGCATCAGTTCAACTGCAGACAAGTGTGTGTGTGTGTGTGTGTGTGTGTGTGTGTCTGTGTTATCAGTTCAACTGCAGACAAGTGTGTGTGTGTGTGTGTGTGTGTGTGTGTCTGTGTGTGTGTGTGTGTGTGTGTGTGTGTGTGTGTTGGAGCATCAGTTCAACTGCAGACAAGTGTGTGTGTGTGTGTGTGTGTGTGTGTGTGTGTGTGTGTGTGTGTCTGTGTTATCAGTTCAACTGCAGACAAGTGTGTGTGTGTGTGTATGTGTGTGTGTGTGTGTGTGTGTGTGTGTGTCTGTGTGTTGGAGCATCAGTTCAACTGCAGAC